TTAATTTTCTAAAAGAAAGTCATTGAGTAAACTAATGGATAAAATAATTACCTATTTAACTAATGCTTGCTGTCAGACAAGTGTGAGTCTGAACTGCAGAAAAAAAAACAGGTTAGAAATTGTATAGTTAATTGTAAATATGTCTTTAGTAATTCACAAGTCACTATTGGCAGTTAATTCCATAAAGTCACAAGTCAGAAGAATTCTTTTAGGTTCAACAGTCACTGACATGTTTGGACCCAAACTGACATGGGCCATTAAGGGTCTGGTGACCTTCGTGGTCAAATTTGGTAGGGACTGTCTTTAGAGGATAGTTTTGAACATGGGCCACAGTCTCACCCAATACAGCACCACAGTCGTATCCTTTCCTACTCACCTCCATCTAGAAAGAATGCGATGACCCCGTTTGGCACCAACAGAGACAGGAAAGGATTTTGATGAACTGATGCAGGGTTCTGAGATGAGAAGGAAAGGAACAAAAGCTGGCTCTGGGAAGAGCTATACAGGATTCCATGAGCAAAGATGAGTTTCCTGAACTGTAAATCAATAAAGCCTGTTTCCACTTCTCATTTGATGCCTCACGATCATCTGCTCCCATTTTCAAAGGGCAGCAATGACAGTCTTGGGTCTCTGAGGGGTTCAGCTGGAATGAAAGGGATGTTTCCAGCAGGTACAGGTCCTGCCAACTGGGTGGTGGATGGGGGCAGGATTGGTAGTGGACCCCTATAAGGGAGTCCCTTCCTAGGACTCAGATCAAACTTCCCTTCAGTCAGTAAATCAGGACATCGCTTTCTGTTACCAAAATGATAAGCAATTGGGAAGCCAGGATGTGGAAGAAATGGCATCTTTTAGGTGAAAGAACATGAATCGAAACTGCAATGTCTTTGCCTGAATTGTAACCTAGATAACTGCTTTTCCACCTCCAGTACCCTACTGGGAAAGGTGTGTTATAGAGGTATGTGATATCCTTTGACAGTTATGAGTAAATGAGGCTCTACCTGCTATCTAAGCACCTTGCAAAACCCTCCACATCATGGGGAGGGGGGAAAATACATTGATCGGGCAGCTGGTATTTCCATTTCCTTACATTCAGCTTTGTTTCACACATTAGCTCCATATCAGAATAAAGCAAGTGCATTAAAATGGAAATATTGAGTAATTTCAACAAACACTGTGATATTTCCGAAGCTTGAACAAAGTGATATTAAGACACAAACTTAGCCCAAAAAAGGTGTGATTGTAGGACTCAGGAACAACAAACTTTACTACAATTACAATCACAACGACAACTACTGCTCATTAAGTTCTTTGAAATCTGTGCTTGAAATTTGCCATCATGAAGGAAAAATAAGAAACCTCAAATGTTTCAAATTACTCTTGTGTGGGAATTCCAGATTTTTCATGTGTTTCCAGTAAGGTTTGATTTCAAGATAATTTCTGGAAAATATAGGAAAAAAAGAATTTGGGTAACTCATAAAAGCAAGTAATATGTGCATAATTGTGTGAGAAAAGCTAAAACAACATTTCACAGCTGGTCAGCATAAAAAATGACTTGTCGGTTTTACTTTACAGATAACACCTGTATGTTTTAAATAATACATATGTACATTATTCATTTGAAGACTTTTTTACAGTATGAAGTTTCTGTGTATAGGAAATATAAAAATCTAGCTTTTATAAGGATTTATTTTTATGATATTAAATAAAACAGATTCCAAAGCATATATTATCCATCACAATAGATAGATGGTCATAATTTGTCCTATTCAGATAGCAGAGAAAATGATTTTGAATTTTATCAGGCATGAAGGAAACTTCTTTGTTGGGGAGGGGGAACCTTGACATTGCAGATCTCAAGAAACTTTTCTTTGCAAGGGAGGGGGAACAATTGGTCTAATCCCTTTTTCTGGTATCTAAGCTTTGATCAAAACTTCATATTCACACATCAATGCAGGCTAGAGGGGACCCTAAATTAGGGTGGGTGCTTGGGTATGACTATGCATGCTAATATGTGTTGTGTGTGCTAATGTGCATGAGATTGTGTGTGTGCACTGGTGCATTAAGATGAATGTTCTGCCACTGTGGAGTAAAGGAAGGTCTGGGAAAAGGAAGAAACGATTGTAGAGGAGCAGTTTCACCCTCTAAAATCTTGGGACTAAATAGTAAATATATCCTTCCCCTGCACCAAAATGTAACCTTTGGTTTTGAAGCAAAGTCTTCTGAGAACTAGAATCTGCAAAGCAAAGAGACATAATGGAGAAAGGTTCACCTAGAATCTTTGAAGCATGCATAAGTGGCCAGGAGCAATAGTGAAATCTTTCCACTTCAAGCTAACCATGCATCCAGGGAGAGGACACCAAGAGGACTCTCAATGCAGCAAGGCATGAGTAGGAGTCTTGATGTAAGAATGGAAAACAGAGTTGGGAACTGTGATTATTCTGCATGGGAGGTAAGGTGCAGGTGTTTGGCTGGCAGGGAATATTTTACTGTCAGATATTTCCTCACTCTTGCCATTAAAACCATAGTTTGAGGTGGGGATGAGGAAATGACACTTTAGCAAATGGAAATTGGAGAAAATACTACATTCAAGAACGTAGAAATCCTATGAAGCGATACTGGAAATACGGAGCTCAGAGCACCTGCAGGTGGTGGTGGTGGTGGTGGTAATGGTTGTTGTTGCATCCTATCCCCTCTATATTTGTGTTTTCCTGTTTGGATTCCAAGAATTTGTTGATTCATTTGGCTCCATCTCTAAACTGTGAGTGCCTTGCAAACCTTCATTTTGGCTTATTCATCTTCACAAGACCCTGGAAAACATCACAAAGCTCCCTACCCCTTGGTTTTTAAGACTTGGGATAGATTAAGCAACAAACTAGAGTTAGAGGATTTAATTTTCCTAAAATTTGGCTACAGGTTAGTCACTTTGACCTCTAGGTCTCAGTTTCTTCCTGGTAAATGAAAGTTGCCTTAGAGGATCTCTATGATGATTTCCAACTTAGCATCATGATGGAATGGAAAGCCTTTTTTTCCTTTTAGGAAATGTAAAAGTTATGTATCAGTTGAATTTGTGATCATATCTATAAATACAGTGAAGACTTCTCCTTAAATATGCACAAATAAAGCTGTTATTTAGGATAATAAGATAATGAAGTAGAAATGAGCCCACCTAAACATGATCGCCAGTATATTGTCTTCCTATGACTAAACACTTCAACTACTTTCATCAGGTGCAGATTACTTCCTTGAGCTAACATTATTTTTCTAGAACATAGCTGCTCATTCTAATCCACTAAAGTAATTTTTTCTCATATCACCAAATGAACTTTGTAAAGTGCCAAAGTAACTTATACAGGGGTGAAAAAACTTACTTCCAAGAAAATTGTTCTGTATGAGTAGGAATTTATTCATTCTATTCAAAAGTTCTATTAGTTTCTTTCTTTGTGATATGTGATTCTAATAAATATTCAGCACTTGATACTGATATTTGGAATTTTGTTTCTAAGTGTTTTTCAATGTACTCATAAATGACTGGATAATCTATCTGAATATAAATGTCATTTTAAAAAAAATAAAGGCATAAAATTTGTGTGAGAAGCTCAGCACCTTCAAAAGAGACAAGCTTTAATAACAAGAAAATTCAGTTAGAATTTCCTTAAATTCTAAATAAGAAATATTTTGTGGATAAAAAGAATTATAATTAATACATTTGAACCAGTGTCATCTTGAAATACCTATCAAAATGATCCACTGAGATTAACAATGATGAAATGGTTGCATTTACTGAATCGGGATTGCTTTATAAATGGTGTTTAATGCCAAATGAGGGATTATTTCACTAAGACTGGTTAAGAAAATTAAGTTTGCTATTTGTAGGCACAAATACTGATCACTGGAGTAAAAATCATGAGCTTAGTGCTGAAGGCAATTGGTGGAAAATTGGAGATTGCTGGAACCTAGATTCTCTTCCTTTATATTCTGACTCATCAGCCTGGAAGTATGGGCCTTGGACAACTGACCACTGAGAGACTGAGGAGGTTGGAAATTCACAGGCCTTCAACAAAAGCAACTTCCTTGCAGGTTCTGATGAATTTCAGAATCCATCAGCAGCTATTGAATATTCCTGGGACTTGGAAGGTCACTTAATTTATGAGTGAGGATCAGATGTCAGAACACATTTTACTTGCCTCCCAGATGATGACAGATGGTGTTCCAGTCAGAGGGAAATGGACCATCATTACTGGACATTTCCAGAAGTCCTCCAGAGGTTTATTGGTACTTTGAGGACCTCCAGCTAGTTCTGGATGTTCATGGTTCCCTCCCTAAGAAGCAATCATCAGCTTGGGGGCCACTGAGGCATCTCAGCTACCTTTGTCACCATCAGAGTTTTAAAACATGGAAATGTGCTAATTATACCAGGTTCATTTTTCACTGATGTGGTCATGGATTAGCCTGAAGAACATTGGTAGGGGAGGTGCTCCTGCTGCTACAGTAGATCTTCTAGTCATTATGTCAGAAAGCCCTAGGTCTTTCCTTCTACCTTTGTAGAATTGGTAATTAGAGGAAACAAAGAGGACAGAGAAAAAGACCAATGGTGTGTAAATGCCACCCGCTTACTAATAAGCACCAATCCTCTTTCTCTACAAAGTATTCTTTTTTTTCTCCTAAAAGGCATTTCTGAAAAGACTAATAGTTAAAGGCCTGAGACAATGAGTATTTATTTTCTGTGATTGAACATATGGACATTTATCATTTTAATTATCTTTTAAGCAGGAATAAAAAGAGAAAGTGAGAATACAAAATTTACAAATCTTGCGGGGGGGGGGGCAGGAATTGGGGAGAATTCATTTCAGTAGTTAACTATTTCCCTCCTTGCCTTTCTAAAGCAAGGGCGTTCAAGTGGCTGGGATTAAGTGACAGATTGTGGGCACTGACTAGACGCGCGCTGGAGAAAGCGGGGAGCCCACCCTTTGCACACAAAGCCGCGGAGTTCCCATGCCGCAGGCGGCCCTGCCCTGGGGCACCGTCGCGCTCCAAGCTCAGGGACTGGCCAGGAAGCGCCGGCGACTGCTCTCGGCAACCCTGACGCGCTGCTGGTGGCTGGGAGAAGTTAGTCACCCCGCGACCGAACCGAGCTAGCGGTCGGAGCTCGAATAGGCTAGGGAATGAGGAGGCAGGAAACCCAGTACCCCCGGACCGCTGGAAGGAAGCGAAGGAGCGCGGGGGCGAGGGGTCGCTTGGGAAGCTGAGAGCCCCGGCTGGTGGATGGTGTGGTACCGTCTGCAAAGCCGGAGCGCACCGGAATGCAAAGGGGAAAAACTTGCGGCAGAAACTTCCTACCCAAAGCAAGAAAGGCAAGCAAGCAAGAGGCAGGGAGAGACTTGAAATGTCTCCATAACTTTAAAAACACCCCAAAACATCCCTCCAGAAGATGAGGTAAGCCGAGGCTAACCAACCCCTCTTGGTTGTGAAATACCAGACCGACCCGGAGTCGCTGTGACTTTAAACGAGACCAAGTTAATTTTATGTTTTTCTTCCCAAATACCCCCACCCCCCACCCCGCCCGCCCTGGCTCCCTCCTTTGTCCCTCCTTCCTCTCCTTCAGGTCCCGGTCCCTTCCTCCTTCTCGTCTCCCTTTCCTCGATCACCCTCCCCCGCCCTTGCTCTCTCCCTCCCCCATCTGATTAGGCGCAGACGGGGAAGGGTGGGAGTGGTGGGGGAAGCTCTCCCTTTAAGAGGCAGCGTGCAGTGACGAATTGTTGAAATTGCCATTGCAGGATGGCATGCCGCTATAAATTCATTGTTCCACCTCCTCGCATCTTCACAGCGCTCGCGCTGCTCTCCGCGCTCTCCACGGCCGACTGGGGATGACGGCGGGCAGGAAGACACCACAGCCAAGGGGACTCGGACGCGCTGCTTCACCGGCTCTCCTCAGTCTGCCCCCCACATTTTTGTTTTGATTTTTATGGCTTTTTTCTGTCTCTTTCTTCCCTTCCTCCCGGTTTCAGCAGAGCCGAGGAAACCCACAAAATAAGAAAGGAAGTGGCCCCGAAGCTTGGAAACTCCGCAGCCAGCCGGTCCGGAGCAGCCAGGGGGCGGGAGGGGGTGCGCACCAGTTGCCCGCCTGGTGCGCGATACCTTTTTTACTTTTCTTGGTGCAACGACCTTGGCTACATTTGGGTTTTCCTCCCTTCCCCGTATTGGCTGAATCTCCACTACCTAGCTTTTTTATTTTTATTTTTTATTTTTTTCCTTTCTTTTTCTTTACTCCCCTCTTTCTGGAGCACAAATCCAAACATTTTCCAAACCAACAAAGAAAAGTTAGCACGCTGGCACCTTGGCCCGGACAGGCTGACGCTGCTTCTGGTCCCCCTCCCTCCGACACTTGACTCAACCTTGCAAGCAAGTGTGTGTGTGTGTGTGTGTCCCCATCCCCCCGCCCCGGTAACTTCCCTGGCGAATAACAAATACCCATAAAGTCCCCGTCGCGCAGCCCCTCCCCGCGGGCAGCGCACTATGCGGCTCGGGTGGGCGTCCCTGCTGCTGTGCGCGTTCCGCCTGTCCCTGGCTGCGGCCAGCCGGGCTGAGGCACCTGCCCAGGATAAAGCCCAGCAGTCTCCGGTTGCTGCAGCGGCAGCCCAGCCCCGCGAGCGGCAGGGGGAGGAGGCGCTGGAGCGGGTCGAGCCTCTGGGCCATCCATACCCCCTGGCGCTGCAGCGCAGGAGCAGCGGGCTTGTGCAGAACATCGACCAACTCTACTCCGGCGGCGGAAAGGTGGGCTACCTCATCTACGCGGGCGGCCGAAGATTTCTCCTGGACTTGGAGAGGGATGGTTCGGTGGGCACTTCTGGCTTCGTGCCCATAGGAGGCGGGCTAAGCGCACCTCGGCGCCACCGGAGCCACTGCTTTTACAGGGGCACCGTGGACGGCAGTCCTCGCTCCCTGGCTGTTTTTGATCTGTGTGGGGGTCTTGAGGGCTTCTTCGCGGTCAAGCACGCGCGCTACACCTTAAAGCCTCTACTGCGGGGGCCATGGCCTGAGGGAGAAACCGGGCGCGTGTACGGGGATGGGTCAGCACGGGTCCTGCATGTCTACACCCGTGAAGGTTTCAGCTTCGAAGCCCTGCCGCCACGCGCCAGCTGTGAGACCCCCGCGTCCCGGCCGGGCGTCCACCAGCGCCTCCAGCTTCATAGTAGTCCAGACCGACATACTGCCCTGGCCTCGAAGCTCAGGGATCAGTCCGCTCTCTTGCCTATGGGGGACCCAGGACCTCAGACCTGGTGGCGACGTAGGCGCCGCTCCATCTCCCGGGCCCGCCAGGTGGAGCTGCTCCTGGTGGCGGATGCGTCTATGGCGCGGATGTATGGCCGGGGCCTGCAGCATTACCTGCTGACCCTGGCCTCAATTGCCAACAGACTGTACAGCCATGCCAGCATCGAGAACCACATCCGCCTGGTCGTGGTGAAGGTGGTGGTGCTGGGAGACAAGGACAAGAGCTTGGAAGTGAGCAAGAACGCAGCCACCACACTCAAGAACTTTTGCAAATGGCAGCACCAGCACAACCAGCTGGAAGATGACCACGAGGAGCACTATGATGCGGCCATCCTGTTCACCAGGGAGGTAGGTCCAGCTGGGGTGGGTGCACCTGGCGCTGAGATAAGGAGGTAGGTGGAAGGGACAGTCTTGCTGATGGCTTTGTTTCTCCTACAAACCATCTGCCACTACGGGACTTGCTTAACTGCATCTTGCAGAAAACCCAGGCTGCGAGCTGTGCTCCTGTGTTCAGATTAGCCTCCGCAGCAATTCTTGCCTTAGTGATTAGACCTGCTAAGGCAATCAATAATGCTCTGTGTCATTCAGTCTGAGATATATTAATACAGAGCCACAGACATGGTAAAGAGAACTAGAATGCTTGAGAAACTGTACACAGTTAAATGGGAAAGGGGGAAAGCAAGATTTCTTTTGGAATCATCAATCTTTTGCTTTCCAGTGAAAGCAAACAAATAACTTTGTCTAACCTAATGGAAAGGGCTTGTTAGTTCATCCAGATAGTTCATCTGATGCTATTCCTTTGCAAATGTCCCTTCCTAGTTGAGCTCCTTCTGCAACATAAGTGAAGGAAAGATTTTCCTAAGGACCCCCTTTCCAATCTGGCTTCCTAATGGAGTCATTGCAGGTCTACCTTACTGTCTTAGTTCCTGGGAAGGAAAGAATGTGGGAGGGCCAAGAGGACACAGAAGCCCAATCAGCTGACAGGACAAACTTGTGAGGTTGCTTAACAAGTTCTTTGCTTAGTAGACCAGTAAATCACAAGCACAGTCCTGGCCAACTCAGCGGCCAAGGAAGGGTCACATCCAATTTGCAGGTTTGGGTTTTGGAAGAATGTTTCTGAAGCTCCAGTGCAAAAGATCTAGGCAAAGAGTCAAGGCCTGGAGAAAGAGTATTTTCCCAAGATTTCCCCCATTTTAAGGATGACTTTACAGGAAAGAAATGGATCTTTATAAGCCCAGAGGCTCTAGGAGGAACCCAATATCTGTTTACATGGTTATTAGACCACCACCTTGGTATGACATTAACAGAAACTCTGGATTGGATTGGGGTCTGGGTTGCTCATAGTTTTGAGCCTCAGTTTTCACAGTTCTGTTTTGATTGGCTGCTTTCTGGATTCTCAAATAACTGGTAAGAATCAACCTTTAAAGTTCATTCTTGAAGTGTTTGAGACTCACTCAGAATAAATGAAGAATTACAAACTTTGAAGTATTATCTAAAATCACAAAATGGAATAAACAAAGGATAAGAAATTAAATGATGCAGGAGGCTTCAGAATCATGCCTTCACAACCCAATTCTTCTATTTTTAATAAGGCACCCGTGGTATGAAGGAAAAGTGTTGATAAATTTGGAGTGGTACATGTGGTTCATGGGTGGACATAATATAAACCACATGTAAACAAAGACATTGCAGGGCAGCACTTTAGAGAGAACCAGGCAGAGCACCCGTGTGGTGCACAATGGAAAATCTTTCTCCTCATTAAGTGATATTCTGGAATCCATCCTTTAATTCCTGTGCACAACATTGGTCTTTGAAA